CGAAATATACTTATTTAAAAATGAGGTATTTAATCGCAAAATTATTGTTGGTCAGTCATTTTTGCTAGGTGAGTGTAATTACAGAATCTATGCATATTCGTTCTAAATTATACTACTATGTCTTAACTGATAAGTCCACAAAGTCTAAGCATAAGGGGGTTAGTAAAAAGGGTATGAGTAAGATGGCAACAGATACATATATGCCATCTTTAGAGAGGTTCCTGCTAGATAATCTGATAGATAAGTTCTTATTATTAGAGCAAGAAGCTAAGGAATTAGCTATGTGAATTGAGGCAGATCCTATAACTTTAGTCTATCGAGATTGTCTCTTTGGTAAGGAAGTATTCTATGCCAAGAATGTAGGTATTCAATCAAAAGACCACATATTATCTCTGGTCAAATCTGAAAAGAAGGCCCTTTGCCCAATAGATATTAAGCGCTAGATCCTATCTGATGGGATAACCACTTTACCATATGAGCATTGGCATATTATGATTTATAAGAATATGATCAAAGATGATATTTTCCATGAAGAGGCTGAAAAAAGAGCTATAACTGCAAAGTAGTGATCTGATTTGTAGATACATTATTCGAATATCCTTATGGATATATAGATATCCGGATAAGTAATTTAAATGATGGATATAAAACTGCGAATATGCAGATATTTTTTATAATAATATAAAAATAAACAATGTAATAAAACAATTGTATAATATATAAATTGTAAAAAAAAAGAAACTTTCCGCTTCCTCTTATTATTATTATAACATAGAGGAAATTTTAATTTTTTATGATTGGCTTTTCTGTTAAAGCTTCGTTGCTTTTGCAACATTTGCTCAACAATTAATATAAATGAATAAATTTTATGTTTTTTTAATCAATGTTTAGCATGTATAAACACAAGATTTAATTTTTACTTAGATTTCTTAAACCTTTTCTTTTAGTTATCATTTTTGATTGAAAGTTTTATTTAATGTTGAATATTACCTTTTGTGCTGAATTTCCTAAATTAAAATAATATTCCAAAGTTTCTTTAAAACTTTTCCTTTCTATTGTTAGTTAAAGCTTTATTTAACTAACGTTAAATATTTTTTGTATGCTCGAATTCCCAAACTAAAATATTTCCTTAGATTTTTAAACCTTTTCTTTCCATTATTGATCAAGAGTTCATTTAATATTTGATATTATCTTTTATACCGGAATTTTATATTAAAACAATATTGGATAAAGTATTAGATATTTTATATTTTTTATATATGGTAGACCAATATTAGTTAAATCAAGTTGATAATTTACTTTTAATATTTTTTCCAACCCATACCTTTTGTAAATCATTTAAATTAACACGCGTGATTATTAATCACTTGTATTTATTCATTTTCGTGTTTTACTTTCTAATAACAAAAATATCTCAGTCAAAAAATTTTGAAGAACTCTTGGACTTTGAAAATGAATGTGAATCTGAAAGTTGGTCAAAAAGATTAAGACAAAATATTCATGAACTATTAAAATGATGATGTATATCTATAATTGAATTGGATTCAGATATGGAAACAAATAATCAGCAAAAAACTGGTAGAAATAACAAAAAATGCAGCAAAAACTCCAAAAAACTTGATTTAAATAAAATAGCCGATCAATTAATTTTAATTTCAAATGTCAAGCCACCAGGACAAAGTTGGATATGGGGATACTTCGATCAATATGAACCAACTGAACAATATAAAAGAATTGTAAGATGTTTAGTTCAAGTTCAATGGAAAAATGGTGTAGAATCATATGAATACTTTATGGGATCTGATAGTTCTACTGGTAATTTTATTGTTCATCTTACTACACATCGAATTACTGAAGAAAGTCATAATCGAAAAATAAATGAAATTTAAAACAAGAGTCAGTTATCACAACTTCGTATAGATGAAATAATACGAAACAATCCAGATATTAAGAATCGTCAAAATCGAAAGTTTGTTAGAATTTTAATTAAAGATAATCAACTAATTAGTTTAGGTAATAATGAAGGATTTATTGAGTTTGTGTATGAATTAGATCCAAATTATCAATTTCCAAGTGATAAAACTATACAACAACTATTAGCTGAATCATATAATCAAATCAAAGATGTATTAACAAAAAAATTTAGTGTAAATATTATTTCATGTTCTATAATAGCAGATTTGTGGATAGCTAGAAGTAGAAGTGGATACATTGGTGTTACGTGTTCATTTATTAATAATGATTTCAATTTATGTGAGGCAATATTAGCAGTTCAATATGTACCTTATCCTCATACTGGAGACAATATTTGTAAAATTTTACGTGAAATTATTTCTAATTGGGGTTTATCTAGTAAGGTTTTTACAATAACCATAGACAATAGATCAAATATGGTTTGAGCTGGAAGATTAATGAATGAACTTATACGACTCCTCTGCACTGCACATACCTTACAATTGGTAATAGGAAAAGGATTACTACCAGCTGAAGTTTTAATTGCAAGAGCTAAACGATTAATAAACTTCTTTATGACACCTAAACAAACTGAACGATTACAAGAAATCCAAGAAAGTTCTTATGTTGTTAATAATGAGGTAATTTAATATTTAATGTAATGATATATTTTAAATTAATATAATATATTTTAATTTAATGTAGTATATTTTAAATTAACACAATATATTTTAATTTAGTATGATATATTTTAATTTAATGTGATACATTTTAATTTAACACATTATATTTTAATTTAACATGAATATATTTAATATAGTATATTATAATTTAACGTGATATACTTTAATATATTGATATTTTTAATTTAATTTAATATAAAATATGTTTTATTTAATGTATTATTTTATTTTACTTAATTTAATTAAATAAAAATCTAATAATAATAATGTTTATTTTTATTTATTTTAGAATTTAGAAAATAATTATGAATATCTTCAGATGATTGCTAATGTTGAAACAAGATGGAACTCCAGTTATCTTGCATGGAAACGCTTAATAAAAATTAAGGATCTCATTGATATTTTGGCATCGACTATGATGATTGATCCTGATTCTTCGACACGACGAGATGGTAAACGACTAAAAAATATAAATTTAACAGAAGCTGAATGGCAAGAAATAAGTAAATTGATTATAATTTTGGAAGATTTTGCTGGAGCAACTGAAATTTTAGGTGGAAAGAAATATACAACTATTAGTTTAATGTACAGTATATTAGCAGTAATTAATCAAAAATTAATACCAGATGATAAATCTTATGTTGAGATTATAGATTTAACAAGTCTGAATATAGCCTTTAATGATGATGTTGGTTATGAAGATGCATTAGAAGATGAACCAATTACTGAACAACCTAAACGCAGAAAAATTAATATTAATATCCCACAAGACTGCAACAATCTTACAAATCGTATTAAAATGGCATTATATAAATCAATGAATCATTATTAGGAAGTTTCACAAGAAGAAGGAACATTGGTTGCTTTGCTAAATCCAAGATTCAAGGATTTAAAGTTTGCTTCTGAATCATTGCGTATTAGAACTTATGAACAGTTAAAAAATGCATATCAAAATATGAGAAACCAACTAATGAAGATCAAGAAGTTGAATTTAGAGTAGTTTCATCAAATTTATTATTAGCAAGAATATTTCAAGATAATATTAATTATGCTGATGAAGTAGCTAATTATCTGGCTTTACCCAATATTCATCCTGACGATTGTCCTTTATTATGATGGAAAACTAATAATATTAAGTTTCCAATATTATTGAAATTAGCAAAAAAATACTTGACAATTCCTGCTACCTCAACTCTAAGTGAAAGGCTTTTTAGCGAAGCTGGTAATATAATGACCATAAAAAGAACACAATTAGCGTCAAATACATTGGAAAATTTGGTTTGTTGTAAAAAGAATTGGCATTTAGCTGGGGGATTTTTCCATTAAATGAGAAATAATTAAATAATGTGTATGTACTGCTGAAAATTAACAAATTAATAAAGTCATTATAAAAAAGCATTCGCCTTTATCAAAATTCTTAAGTTTTAATATATTGATAAAAATAAATAACATTTTATTAATTTTTTCTTTTGTATTCGTATAACCAGATTAGACTACTAATAAATCTATTACGGATTTATCCTTTATTCAGATTTCTTACGGATAGCAATCTAGATTCATGATGGAAGTCACAGATCATTTGTTTGTGAATAAACAGATATCCGGATCAGACCACTACTGCAAAGCTTCCAGAAAAGTATCGCTTCTTTGATGCTAAGCATCTGCAGGAGAAAATATATTAAGAAAGAAATATAAGAATACTAAAATTTTAGATGACAAATACCCTCTCCCGCAGTTCGATAGAACAAGGGGCTGAACTAGTGAAATGTCTTGAGAAATATCTTAAATGTCAGAGTATTATTATATATTTTTTTCTTGTAAAATATATATATATTAAGTAATATCCTCTAAAATGAAAATCATGCAAAAGCAGTCTTCCAATCATCCTAGCGAGTATGTAAAAAATATGGAAAAGCTATCAAAGTTGGCAGGATTTGATCATCAAAATTCTATAG